TTTGTTTTTGTCTTTCAGCTCGTCATCCTGCAGACCCTCAGAGACCACTTCAGACCAGACCAGCAGACCCTCAGAGACCACTTCAGACCAGACCAGCAGCTCCTCAGAGACCACTTCAGACCAGACCAGCAGACCCTCAGAGACCGCCTCAGAGCCGACCCCTGACCCTTCAGAGGATCAGGAACCTGCAGTCTGTAGACCCTCTCAGCAGCAGGTCAGTGAGCTGTCAATCAAGTCTGAGCATGCTCAGTAGAGACTTCCTGGCGTCTTCAGGGAGAAGAAAACTGATCTTAGCAGGGTTTCTTCCTGGCTCTGAACAGGCCTCTCCTCCCCTAACAGAGGAGGAGAGGGATTGAGAGGGGGGGGGGTCTCATCCTCAGTGCATTTCACCCTCTTCCTATGATGGCTGCTCTTTACCTTTAAATTGTGTTTTAGTTTTACATTTGTTTACGTACATTTATTTGAGTTAAGGTATTATGTCAAGTAATCACAGATTTCAGTCTCGGCGTGCCCCCGTGATGACCCGTCTGCAGACAGCAGAGGAGCAGGGACAAGTAGCTGCAGCTACATCATACACGTTTAGTTTTAACATGACTGTTGGGATAAATATTTACCACCATGAAGAGCATTACTCTTTGAAATGAACTCGCCAAACGGAAAACCAACCCTCATTTAGCGCTTGTGAGTGTCAGCGGAGCGTCATGAACCAGTCAAAAGAAACCAACAGTCAATCAGCTGGCTGTCCAGCGCGAGCCACATGTTTTAATGGATGAGAGGGGAGATGACTGCTAGAAGTCAGAGACGTCGTATTTAAGTTTATGTTCTGTTCAACACTCGTTTGATGTTTTTAAAACATTCAGAGAGGATTTGATTTGCAGTTTGAATCGTCTGGTGATTTTCTTTTGGCGCTGGGTAAAACCTCTTTGGGGGGCGCCAAAGAATTCTCTATGCAGGAAAAACCCTGCTTAGAATCTTTTTACAGAAGATTGTCTGTTTTTATTTTGAGTTTGACCTCTGACCTTTTGATTACTTGTTGTGTTGCTTCCCATCCCGCAGACGACCGCACCTCAGGCCGCCGTTTCTCCGCTCAACTTGTCCTCTCTGTCCTCGGTCTCCGAGCTGGAGGCTCTGGGTCTGGACATCCTGAAGGGGGAGCTGATGAGTCGGGGTCTGAAGTGTGGGGGCACGCTGACGGAGCGTGCCGCCCGACTCTTCTCCGTCCGAGGACTGACCCCGGATCAGATCGACCCCGCGCTGCTCGCAAAACCGAGCAAAGCTAAGAGGAAGTGAGGTCAGAGGTCACGGAGCTGAGAGATTAAAGGAACAGTTTTCTAACATTCAGTAACGTGTCCACTTTCTTCTTCTTTGGTCTTTGTAGAGATTTAAGAACAAACGTGAAGCTGACGTCATCGTGGACGATTATTTCAGAATAAAGATCGTCCAATGAGCAGAGAGATTAGACGAGAGCTCGTGATTGGCTCTTGAGTTCAGCTGTTTTCCAGTCAAAATGTTAGATCTGTCTGCAGACGTCCAATCAGCAAGCAGGATTTTCTTCTTGTATTTGTTTTGATTTTATTCAGTTTCAACAAACGTTTAAAAAAACATCATGAACGTTTTCCTGTAATTTGATCTTTTTCAATAAAATGTCTGAAACTAAAAGTCTTGTTGCTTCTGTTGTGTAACATTCAGGGAGTGTGGGGACTTTCCCTTCTGTTTAAACACTGCAGCATCATACCGGTACAGAATCATTGAGGGACTGATGTTTGAAATGAGTTGTTTCCATGGCAACAGATTGACAAACTCGTTCTTTCACGGTTAGTCGCGCAACCTTTAAATTCTTACTCTCTGCATTTCTCTTTTCAGTGACATCTGTCACCATGAAATATGATTGAGAGACGTCTCTTCAGGATGACGGAGCAGATCAAGCAGGACAGGAAGTCAGACACAACATTTAAACGTGCTTTATTTTCAGAATAAAACACTGTTTAGAACAATGACCTGATGTGTTTGTTTCTTTCTACCACAAACCTGGTATAACCTCGTGCTGAAGTCAGCCTGTGGATGTTGCAGATGGCGGCGCGGACACAAAGCACATTGATCTGGTGGAAGTTCAGAGTCAGGCGCACTATTCATCGTACTCTGTACAGCGGCTCCAGCTGACACGTCAATCTTTGTAAAGTTCATGAAGTGAGTCTATAAAAACATCAGGAAGCTTCAGGTGTTCAGATTTTAAAGATGTGAAGGAGAAAATGAAGAACACATCAAACAGTCACCTGTTCAGGTGTTTGTAATGAAAGAGTCGAGAGTCTCTTCTGTTCTGATTCAAACATTATTTAAACATCTGCAGGAAGTCACAGTGTCAGCACGCTGTTAGGCTTTCTGTCCACAGGACTTCACTTCCCATGATCCCCTGCTTCTCGGCTGTCAGAAGCCGGGGTCCCAGGAGGTGACCCGCGGAGTGTCCACCTCCTCGAAGCAGACGATGACATCACCAGTCCTGATGTCTCCGTGACCGTCCGCCGACAGACCGCACTCCATCCCCACCTTCACCGTCTGCACGTCGTCTTTGTGGTGCTTCAGCGCCGACAGAGAACCTGCAGGAGAACGTTACAGCGCATTAGAGAACGTCACAGCGCATTAGAGAACCAGCAGGAGAACGTCACAGAGCGTTACAGAGAACCAGCAGGAGAACGTCACAGAGCATTACAGGAACCTGCAGGAGAACGTTACAGCGCATTAGAGAACCAGCAGGAGAACGTCACAGAGCGTTACAGGAACCTGCAGGAGAACGTCACAGAGTGTTACAGGAACCTGCAGGAACGTCACAGAGTGTTACAGGAACCAGCAGGAGAACATCACAGAGCGTTACAGAGAACCAGCAGGAGAACGTTACAGAGCATTGCGGGAACCTGCAGGAGAGCGTTACAGAGAACCTGCAGGAGAACGTTACAGAGCGTTACAGAGAACCTGCAGGAGAACGTTACAGAGCGTTACAGAGAACCTGCAGGAGAACGTTACAGAGCGTTACGGGAACCTGCAGGAGAACGTCACAGAGCGTTACAGAGAACCAGCAGGAGAACGTCACAGAGCGTTACAGGAACCTGCAGGAGAACGTCACAGAGTGTTACAGGAACCTGCAGGAGAACGTCACAGAGTGTTACAGGAACCTGCAGGAGAACGTCACAGAGTGTTACAGGAACCTGCAGGAGAACGTCACAGAGTGTTACAGGAACCTGCAGGAGAACGTCACAGAGCGTTACAGGAACCTGCAGGAGAACGTCACAGAGTGTTACAGGAACCTGCAGGAGAACGTCACAGAGTGTTACAGGAACCAGCAGGAGAACGTCACAGAGCGTTACAGAGAACCAGCAGGAGAACGTTACAGAGCATTGCGGGAACCTGCAGGAGAGCGTTACAGAGAACCTGCAGGAGAACGTTACAGAGCTTTACGGGAACCAGCAGGAGAACGTTACAGAGCGTTACGGGAACCTGCAGGAGAACGTTACAGAGCGTTACGGGAACCTGCAGGAGAACGTTACAGAGCGTTACGGGAACCAGCAGGAGAACGTTACAGAGCGTTACGGGAATCTGCAGGAGAACGTTACAGAGCTTTACGGGAACCAGCAGGAGAACGTCACAGAGCTTTACAGGAACCAGCAGGAGAACGTCACAGAGCGTTACAGGAACCAGCAGGAGAACGTTACAGAGCGTTACGGGAATCTGCAGGAGAACATTACAGAGCGTTACAGGAACCAGCAGGAGAACGTTACAGAGCGTTACAGGAATCTGCAGGAGAACGTTACAGAGCGTTACGGGAATCTGCAGGAGAACGTTACAGAGCGTTACAGGAACCTGCAGGAGAACGTTACAGAGCGTTACAGGAATCTGCAGGAGAACGTTACAGAGCGTTACAGGAACCAGCAGGAGAACGTTACAGAGCTTTACGGGAACCTGCAGGAGAACGTTACAGAGCTTTACAGGAACCTGCAGGAGAACGTTACAGAGCTTTACAGGAACCTGCAGACTCGTTAAGACCAGGTCCAGGTGTGACTCACCCTCCCACACGGTGTCTCTGCCTCGGATCAGTCTGAACTTCAGTCTCTGGTCCAGCTGACCCTTCTGAACCCTGCAGCCCGCCACCGGGATCTTTTTCTTCCCCACGGTGACGTCGAACATGGCGAGCACCGTCGCCTCACCTGAGCGAGCAGACAAACAACTTCCTGTCAGGTCACAGAGCTGGTTTATCCTACCCTGCATCAAGGAGCTCAAACGCGTCACGGGTTCATAGAGACAACAACACAAACACTTCAGAGGACGGCGGTTAGCGCCCGCCTTCAGATGGAACATAAACATGGCGTCCTCACCGATGACGCTCTCGGAGACGATGGCAGGCAGTTTGCTGCTCAGCTCGTCTTTCAGCTCGTCGACCAGTCTGTAGATGACTTTGTGAAGTCGCAGTGGGACGCCGCGCCTCTCCGCCAGCTGCTGGATGGACTTGCTCGCCGCCACATTAAAGCCGTATATCGACCCTGAAGAAGAGAAGGAGCAACAAAGATTGAGAGAGAGAAAAATGAAAGAAGATTGAAAGAGAATAAGAGATCTGTTTACCTGTGAAGGTGGCGGCCATGTTGACGTCGTTCTCTGAAATGTCTCCAACGCCGAAGTGCAGCACGTCGAGCTGACACTGCTGCTCCGCCTCGTAACTGTCCACGATGTTCAGGAGCGTCTCCACCGAGCCGTCCACGTCTCCTGCAGACACACGGCGACATCAGGGGTAACGCAGTGACCTCAGAGTGATGTCACAGTGAGCTCAGAGTGATGTCACAGTGAGCTCAGAGTGATGTCAGTGACCTCAGAGTGATGTCAGTGAACTCAGAGTGATGTCAGTGACCTCAGAGTGATGTCAGTGACCTCAGAGTGATGTCACAGTGAGCTCAGAGTGATGTCACAGTGAGCTCAGAGTGATGTCACAGTTTGCTCAGAGTGATGTCACAGTTTGCTCAGAGTGATGTCAGTGAGCTCAGAGTGATGTCACAGTTTGCTCAGAGTGATGTCACAGTGAGCTCAGAGTGATGTCACAGTGAGCTCAGAGTGATGTCACAGTGAGCTCAGAGTGATGTCACAGTGAGCTCAGAGTGATGTCACAGTTTGCCTAGAGTGATGTCACAGTGACTTCAGAGTGATGTCAGTGAGCCCAGAGTGATGTCACAGTGAGCTCAGAGTGATGTCACAGTGACCTCAGAGTGATGTCACAGTGAGCTCAGAGTGATGTCACAGTGAGCTCAGAGTGATGTCACAGTGACCTCAGAGTGATGTCAGTGAGCTCAGAGTGATGTCACAGTGATGTCACAGTGAGCTCAGAGTGATGTCAGAGTGATGTCACAGTCTCAGAGTGACAGTGAGCTCAGAGTGATGTCACAGCTCAGAGTGATGTCAGATGTCACAGTCTCAGAGTGATGTCACAGTGAAGTCAGTGATGTCAGTGAGCTCAGAGTGATGTCACAGTGGCAGCAGCCTATCAGAGAGTGTGTACCTTTGATGATGATTGGCAGGCAGGGCTCATCGCTCTGTATCTTCTCGCTCGGCCTCGTGGCGTACTGCGTCCTGTTGGCTTTGTACTTAACCCGCTTCCTCTGCCTCCAGGTCAGGTGCTCAAGCCCCGCCCTCTCCTTCCTGTACTCCTCCAGGTGAAGCTTCTGTTTGTTCTCGATGGCGCCCTGCTCCTCCTGCAGCTTCTGTAGCTCCTCCTCATAACTCCTCCACTCCGTCACTTCCCTCGCCCTCTGCTGCTCAGCGCACAAACAGGATTACATCATTATAATCTTTAGCCCCGCCCCCACAGCCAGGTGTGTTTGTTTCTCACCTCTGACTCCACCTCCAGCAGCAGCTCTCCTGCAGACGGCTGCTCCTTCCAGCCAACCACCTCCACCGCTGCACTAGGTCCCGCCTCCGTGACCACCCGCCCGTTCTCGTCAAACAGGAAGCGAACTTTAGCCCAACTCTTCCCCGCCACAAGGACGCAACCTCGCTTCAACGTTCCCCGCTGGATGATAACCGTCGTCACAGGACTGAGGAACAAGATAATAGAACCCGGGTTACTGAACCAGAACCATCAGAACTCAGAACCAGGGTTACTAACCAGAACCATCAGAACTCATAGAACCAGGATTACTAAACCAGAACTATCAGAACTCATAGAACCGGGGTTACTGAACCAGAACCATCAGAACTCATAGAACCAGGGTTACTGAACCAGAACCATCAGAACTCATAGAACCCGGGTTACTAACCAAAACCATCAGAACTCATAGAACCCGGGTTACTGAAGCAGAACCATAAGAACTCAGAACCAGGGTTACTGAAGCAGAACCATCAGAACTCAGAACCAGGGTTACTAACCAGAACCATCAGAACTCATAGAACCCGGGTTACTGAAGCAGAACCATCAGAACTCATAGAACCAGGATTACTAAACCAGAACTATCAGAACTCATAGAACCAGGGTTACTGAACCAGAACCATCAGAACTCATAGAACCAGGGTTACTGAACCAGAACCATCAGAAGTCATAGAACCCGGGTTACTAACCAAAACCATCAGAACTCATAGAACCCGGGTTACTGAAGCAGAACCATAAGAACTCAGAACCAGGGTTACTA